ACTTGTGCAGACCCCAGGGTTAGGCCAGGCAGAACCTATCACTAGTAATGGTGGGAGCAGGATTTGAACCCAGGTGGGCCGGCTCCAGAATTTACTCCCTTTACGTGGCTGTCTTCCATGGCAGTTTTCCCCACTGGCAGCTGCTCAGGACGGGGACAGTGTCTGCCTTGCTCAGTGCCGCCACCCCCTAGGACTAGCCCACTTTCCCCCAATACCTATTTGCTGGCTGCGGCTATGGCTAGAGAATATTTTCCTTTAAACTGCCGTGGTGCTGGGAAGCCAACCACCTCCCCAGAGCTCAGAACGGCCGGTCACTTCTGCAGTAGGCACTGCCCTCTCATGTGACCGTTAGCAATGGGGCCATCATCCACTCACCTGGACTGTGGTCCTTCTTCCACTGGGATAACCAAAAGCCTCGAAGTTTGAGATCCTTAAAAATGAGCTGGCTCTGTGGACACAACAAGGACGTACTGGGCTCTGAGGGCAAGCACTTCGAGTGATGCCTAAGGTACAGACCCGCCCACCCCCACCCTCCTGCCCAAGGACAAGGGCACCATGTGGGTTTGGACAACTGTGGTGTCCAGGTCTGCCTCCCTCACCAGCTTACCACAGAGGCTATGACAGGCTGCTTGGCCATTCCCCCGTAGGTCACCATGGTTCCCCCACGCCTGAAGAGACCAGAGAGAATAGAGTGGGTAGAGACAGAGATAGAGCTCTTCTCAAACCTGCCGGAACACTTCTATTCCCACCCTGGTTTTGTTAAAAAAAAAAATTTTTTTTTAATATTTATTTTTGAGAGAGAAAAAAAGAGAAAGAGAGGGTGGGAAGAGAGAGAGGGAGGGAGGGGCAGGGAAAGAGGGAGACACAGAATCCAAAGCAGGTTCCAGGTTGTGAGCCGTCAGCACACAGCCCGACGCGGGGCCTGAACTCACGAACCGTGAGATCATGACCTGAGCCAAAGTCAGATGCTTAACTGACTGAGCCACTCAGGCGCCCCTCCAAGCCTGGTTTCTGAACCTTGATCTCAGAATCCTTGGGAATGTTTCAAAAACTACAGATTCCTAGGCTCGACCCAGACCTAACGTATCAGGAAGCAAGAACCTGTATTAAAGTCAACCAACAAACACGTTGCCAGATGACATGATGTTTAGCCAGGGTTGGGAACCCACCGATCTAACCACCCAGCCGGGCTTGGATGAAGTGTTACAAAGAAGCACGTTCTACTGAGAAGAGCTCAAGACCTGGCTCCCCTCCACTCCTAGATGTGTGGCCTTGGGCAGTGCACAGACACTGGTGCAGTGCAGACCTCTGCCCTCCGTCTGTCCGGACTCACCTGAGGATCCGTGAGGTGAGATGGCCATACAGATAAGGAACAGTGTGGGTGGGGAGAGGGAGGGCGGTGGGCAATTGCGTCGCTGCAGGAGGGGTCTTGCCAGGACCTGCTGTCTGACACCCACACCTGCCCCAGCAGTCCAACAGGGGAGAGGCTCAAATGATTTTTAAAAACTAATAAGCTCGGACTTCTGTGCTCCATTTAACCTGTGTTCCCTTCCCCACTCCCTGGCTTTTAGGAGTCTGCTGGTCAAGGATGATGGCGGGTGTGGACGTGGTGCTTTGTGAACTACAAAGCGGAAGCTGTTGCTGTGTGAGGCACGTAACTCTTTGTCCATGAGGTTTGTGGGCAGTTTGGTCTTAAGTTCCCTTCGCCTGACACTTGTCCCAGAAAGTAGCTCCTTTCTGGGATCAAGCCCTCCCCCCCAACTCCCCACAGCCTCTGCACTTGTTCTAATTTGAATAGCTGACGTTTACTGGGCGTTTTTTAGGTGCTGGGGCCAGGTCTGAGCATTTCCATGTGCACTGATGTGGTGAGTCGTCCCTGGGACCCCCAGGGAGCACTTTTATTGCTCTCATTTTACAGCGGGGAAAATGAAGCCCACCTCTGTCTGTATGGCGATTTGTGCATCACCTCAGTGTCTTTAGACGACCCTTCTGAGGCAGAAAGGGTTTCTATCCCCCCACTGTACACACGAGGAGACTGAGGCCTGGATCTTTTATGTAATGCCTAACTTTTCACAGGCCTACAGCTAGTAAGTGGCAGAGCTGGGACTTTCTGACTCCAGCGCCTACATCTGTAACTACTGCTCAAGGCTTCCTCCTACAGCGAGTGCCGCGGGCGTCACGGGCTGCCCTTGAGGCTGCCGAAGTAGGGCAGGAGGGGTGGACGCAGGAGTCACGAGAACTTGGGGTTAAGCCTGGCTCTTCCACTTCCTAGACTTTGGGCAAGGTAATTACCCTCTCTGGGCCTTGTATCAACGGGGATGGGCAGAGTATCCCCCCCTTTGGTGGTTGCGGAGGGGGGCGGGGTAAGTCAAGCACTCTGCACAGAGTCTGGTGCACAGGCGAATACTCAGCGATCACTATCACAGCTCTCTGACCACATGACCCATCTCCCCATCTAGCCTAGGAGTTCTAGAGAGTTCCTTCAGTGCCTGAGCCATCTCTGTGTCCCTTAGCTAGTGAGTGCTAGCAAGAATGTGTCAACCAATGTTGCTGAGGGGATTCTTGCTTTAGTTGGAAAGTTCCTCAGCTCAGGAACTTTATATATATTTTTTAAATGTTTACTTATTTTTGAGAGAAAGAGAGAGAGAGACAGGCAGAGCACAAGTGGTAGAGGGGCAGTGAGAGAGGGAGACACAGAATCCGAAGCAGGCTCCAGGCTCTGAGCTGTCAGCACGGAGCCTGACGCGGGGCTCGAACTCACAGACCTTGAGATCATGACCTGAGCTAAAGTCAGACGCTTAATCGACTGAGCCACCCGGGCGCCCCAGGGACTTTATATTAATGGCAAAAAGAATGGAAGGACACCCACTGTTAATATTGTCAACAATGCTTATCCCCCTTGGTGGTGGGATGATAGCTAACTTTCCTGCTTAATTTTTCCTTTGTCCTTTTTGGGGGAAGATTTTATTTTTTAAGTAATCTCCACACCCCACATGGGGCTCAAACTCACAACCTTGAGATCAAGAATTGCACCCTCCACCGACTGAGCCAGCCAGGTGTGCCCCATCCTTTGTACTTTTACATGCTTTCAAAATGCTTTGTAATAGCAATAACGTTACCTCTAAAATTAGAATCTATTTTTAAAAGCTAATAAAAAATTTAAAAGCTAACAAGCTAGGACTAAGTGACTTTTGAAAAGGCCCCTAGGTTATGAATCCTTAACTGTTCCCCTATCACAGAAAGCTTAGCCATCTACTTCTGGGGTCCCTTGGAAAAACAAAGCGGCTGGGTCTGTCGGTCACCTATAAAGGAACAGGCTGAGAAAGGAAGTGCCTGGATAACCAGGAAATGATGGCGATCCATTTCCTACCCAGGGTTATGCTGACCTGGCTTGGCTTGCGTTGCCCACTGGGATTGGGTCACTTGCCAGTCCTCCCAGCTACAAGCCCGGAGAGCTTGGGCCAACAAGACTTGCAGGGCCAAGGGACTTACGCTAAGTGTCGCAGCAGCTCTGTGGAGCTTTTCCCGCCAACACAGTTGAGAGCAAGTCGGGGCTGGGGCATGTCCTGGAAAATAAGGAACCTGTAGTGAGGGAGCTACCACTGTATGTGAGGGATTTCTTTCTTTAAAAAAAATCTTTTTTATGTTTATTTATTTCTGAGACAGAGAGAGACAGAGCATGAGTGGGGAAGGGGCAGAGAGAGGGAGACACAGAATTGGAAGCAGGCTCCAGGCTCTGAGCGGTCAGCACAGAGCCCGATGTGGGGCTCGAACTCACAAACCGCGAGATCATGACCTGAGCCGAAGTCGGTCACTTAACTGACTGAGCCACCCAGGCGCCCCTTTTTCTTTCTTTTTTTTAAGTAGACTCCATGCCTAGTGTGGGGCTTGAGCTCACGACCCTGAGACTGAGAGTTGCATGCTCTACCGACAGAACCCGCCAGGTGCCCCCTTACTCGTGGGGTCTAAAGCTTGCCACAAACAGCACTTCCTTTCCACAGGTGCTGTGTCGGGGGTGGGGGGCAGTGAAGGAAAATGGGATAGTGTTGCCTTCACACTCTGCTCTGCAAGGACCTTTGCTTTATCAGCTTAATCCTGTTACGTTTTGGAATTTTGTTCAAAACTTCTCTCCTCTCTAGGAAAGGACAGACAGAGGGCACGTACATTCCTTTTCGAAGGAATCTAGGTCCCCCAAGTGTACTTCTTCTCTGTGCTCACAGCTCAGTTTGAGTTAGAGGTGCTGATCTGCCGCTCCGGAAATGTTCTTAAGAGGCAGGTGTTCTCGAGGGGGTGTGTGTGTGTTTGGTCACTCCTGGGTTCAGGAGAAAGAGGCTGAAGTTTGGTCACCTGTTAGGTATGCTGGGGGGTGGAGGTTCTAGAAGGTTAAGAGGCTGTGAGTTCAGAGAGACCTGGGGCCAGCCCTGACTCCACTTATAACTGTGTGGCTTTGGCGAAATCCTTTATCTCTTTGGAGACTTGGTTTTCTCATCTAGAAAAGAGAGAGCACCTGCTTTGTTGACCTTTTGTGGGGATTATCAGATACAATACAAAGAAAGGGCTTCAGAGACGTACTTCTTTCCTTTCTCTTCCTTCTCTGTGGCTCAGTTTCCTCAGGTCCTCTCCCAGCTCTGAGACTCACACTAACTGTATGGGCTGATGTGGCCTGCTAAAAATATTCAAAAGCACAAATAATCCAGGGTTTCTTGGACTTCGTCTGTCTCTACTGCCTCCCTCACAGCATCTGGGCACTTGATGCATGCCGTCCCCTGGCTGAGGGAATGGGTTTTGTCCTTCCACAAAGAGATGAAGGGAGGATTTGGAGAGAAGTGACGGGGCCAGTCCCAGCTTTTCTATCAGGTCAACTTTTTCCAGGGAGATGAGCATGGAATGAAGGCACAATGCCCCTCAGCCTACATACCTTAAAGAAATTTTTCATTTCATGCTTCCTTAGCTCCTCTTCTGTGAGAACATGCTCGGCCCCTAGACTCTTCAGTCTGTCAGTCAGCTTCTGGATGTCAGGCCTAGAAACCAAGCACAATCCACAGCCCTTAGTCACTCCTGCTGCCTTTCTCTCCCAGAGGCTCCTAGGACTCCTCTGCTATGGCTGTGAGAACATGAGTTTCTCTTTGTGGGAAGCTGGGATTGAGGGTAAGCCAGGCCCTACACAGGGGCTGGCTACTGGATTTCATCACACTCCAACACCTCTTGGCCTCGGTTTCCTCACTGGCAATACAGGGTGATTTCCACAGTCCTTGCCAGCTCAAAGGTGCTAGAAACCATCTGGCCCAGGGAGAAGTCATTTCACTTCCTGATTTTGTCTACTGAAATGACAAACTTCATTTCCTTTCTCCTCCTCTTTTCAAGGGGCTCTTCAGGGTGTTGTGCAAACATACTCCAGCCCAGGGGTGGCTCTGGGCCTCTTTGGCCACGGCAAACAGACTGATTTTTGTTAACACAACTGAGGGAATAGGGAAGGGAAGCGAGTGTCAACTCTCCCCCAGAGACTGGACTTCCACCACAGATATAGCCACGTTTGTTGACAGTGAGGCTTAAGGAAACTGGATGGCACGATGGAAAGAGAACAAGGCAGGGAACTAAGTCTATTACTGACTTGCTGGGTCTTCCTGAGCAAATGGCTTCCTTTCTCTGAACCTTGTTTCCTCACTGTAACACAGATGACAAACCTGCCCCATCTCCTTCACATCCATATTTAGTACAGCTCAAGTGCCACACAGATGCAAGGGGAGAAAGGGCCCCGGGTCAGACAGTTTACAGAAGGAATAACAAACATAGCTTAACAGATTCCCAAATATGAAGCGTGGCCTTGAAATCACGAGGTTATCACAGACACAAAAACTCTCAGCTGCTCAGCAAGGGCCGGCTTCAGCTCCTTCCTGCTCTCCTTTTACATTTGGGATATTCACTCATCCTATAGCCAGAGGCCAAGTGGGCCTCCTTTCCGGCGGCTGAAGGATCTGTCTGCGGGCTGCTTATGCACGGGCGCCATCTGGTGGACACAGGGGCGCTTGCAGGGATGCTGGGTGGAAAGGCCTAAGTCTCGTGCACTGGGATCAGGCCCCCCCACGCACCTGTCTCGGACCACATTGACGGTCCTCAGGCCCAGGGCTGCGGCGATCTGAATGACTGCTTGCCCCACTCCACTGTTGGACGCATTCTGGATGACACTGTCTCCTGTAGAGCCAGGAAGAGACCCAAGTCAAGTCCTGAAGACCTGTAAACAGGTCAAGTGCTTCCTGTCTGGGATACTATTGTAGGGCAAGAGATGGGAGTGCTCAGGCTCAGAATGACCCAGGACCTGGCTGCTGAGTCTTCTCAGATCTTGGAGTGTTGCTTACTCTTTTCCCAGTGACCCCCCCCCCACCTCCAAATTCCATGACACCCATGGTGCCTCCCAGGGCTTGGCAATTAAGAGTCCATACTATATGTAATTTAGATCCCACTGTGTAAACGATTTTATATTGTTCATCATCCTCTCGATTTTTATGCCCTCAAATCTCTTAGATTATTTCCATGGTTTGCAATGTTTCCCTCCTTCTCTCTTCCTTCGTTTTGAAATCCCATATACTCCTTGAAGCACAGCTCAAGCGCAGCCCCCTTCCCATCTTCCTTCTGTGTGCTCCTCTGGCTCTCTCTCTGCACATGGTGTGCCCTGTCTTATACTTGGTTGTGGACATGCCCATTTCTAGCAAGAGCCTGCAGCTTCCTGAGGACATGGCCATGCCTTATTCCCCCTTTGTGCTGCTCAGTAAGGGCACACTGCCTTGAAATGGGATCAATGCTGGAGAAACCCAGAGCTCCAGAAACAGCATCCTACAGATAGTCTGTGGTCAAAGCCCAGGCTTTGGAACTAGCCAATGGGGGAGGCAGCGTGGCATGCTGGGGAAAACGTGGGCTCTGAAATCAGATCGATCTGGTGTGAGTCCCGGCTTCCCCACTGGCTGTAACTGAATGACATGAGAGAGGTCATGACCTCTGTTTCCTTCGCATAAAACAGGAATCCTGGGAGTGCCAATCAGGATGCTCCGGATTAGTCGAATCCCACTGTGTCCAGGAAGGTGCTCTGTCACCCCTGAAATATGATCTGAAATGCAGGGATCTGGTGCTACAGACAGGGGATTTCCTGGAAGAAGAATGCCTATTCTCTGTAGGCAGGAGTCAGCTCACAGATTGTCATCAGTGGGTTATGAAATCAAGCTAGTGGGTTGTAAGCAACATTTTTTTTTTTTTTCAGTTAAGATTGAGGAACAGAGAATTAAGAAGAACACACTGCATCACACATAGTAAGGGCAAATACTGCTCCATAAAACTTTGGTTTCCGTTATATATATACTCATACATATATCTATGTACTGGATTACAGTGTAAAATGTAATTCTTACTATGGGTCAGTATGACAATTTAGTTTAACACTGATCTAGCCCAGACCACACCTGCCCTCAGGCAGGCAGGTGGAGAGATGCCACGGGCAACTGAGGTGGGGTGGTGTCAGAATACCCTGATGTCCACCACAACTGTGGCCCAAATTAGAGGTGGCCGGAGGGGATGAGACGCAGGGGACCAAAATGTCTCCTTAACCAGGACTGGTTTTCTCCACCAAAGCCTCCCAGGATCGCCCTGGCACAGCTGGGAGAACCTGCCTTTCTCTTTGCAGGAAGCTGGGACTGGTTTTCAGCCAGCTACAAGCATTAGTGGCAATCTAAGCTTATCGCGTTCCAACATCTCTGCCTCAGTTTCCTCACTGGTGTGGCAGAGCTAGACTAGGTGACTTCTATAGTCCGTGGACATGCATAGCGTGAAGGGTTAGGCCAATGCTGAGGTGGGTTCTATGAGGATCTTTGGAGGCCTCCTCCCAGCAAGACTGAGCCCTGCTCGCCCACAGCAGTAATCAGCCTTCACTGGCTTTTCCTCCTTTCCCTGGCTCCCTCTCCCAATCCTTCACTCCTGCTTCCTGGGATCACCCCCCCAGCAAACTGTCCACCCTCACTCAGTCCTTGCCTCAGGCTCTGCTTTCAGGGAACCCCAAATAGAACATCCGGCTTTGTCATTTCCTTGCTGAGTGATCTCGCCCAAGTAGTTTACTTCTCTGGACCTCAGTCTCCTCCTTTATGAAAAGGAAGAATAATAAAAGCAGCGCTTAATTACTGCGCTGTGTGCCAGGCCCCGCGCTGTTACACCGCAGTGTTCCAGCTAACCGTCAAAACCCCTTATTGTCCGTTTTATAGGTGAAAAATCTGATGATCTGAAAGGTCAGTTCATAGCGAAAGGTGATTCTGGTATTCAGACTGAGGTTGTCTGCCTGGGGCCTGAACTCTCAACCAGTGATACCAACCTCACCACACTGCTTTGAAGATTTAATGCAGTCACCGGGGTAACGCATGGGAAGGCACTTATGTGACCTGGAAAGTGCCATAGAAATGCTGAGTGGAATTACTCAGTTCAGCATTTTACTGAGAACACAGGCACCGTCTATCTTGTCTGGCTTTGTTGTGTCACAGACCTTAGCACAGCGCCGTTTCTGCTGAATGGCAGAATTCCATCCCAAGCTCTAGGGAATGTGATCCCTCAGCGGTTTTCCAGAGTGTTCTCCTCATGGGGTTCCAGCACACTTTCTAGGAACTAAGCTAACAAAACAAAAGCAGCAACCACACACTTGCCCAGGTTAGGGGCCCGTCTTCCTCTCGGCCCCTTACTGGTGAGCTGCCAGGGCCTCGGGGTCAGGATGTGGGTCACACCCAGTCAGGAGATCCCAGCCTGCTCCCCGCACCTGGCGGTTCCTACCTGGCTGCAGCTGCTCAAAGTCCATCAACATCCTGTAGGCCGTGCAGGGATTGACACTCAGGGTGGCGGCGCTCTGAAGAGGGATGTCACTTGGAACTCCGATCAGTGCTTCCTCGCTGAACACAGCCTCAGTCCGCCAGGTTCCTGAATCAGGGGATGGGGCCGGGGTCGTGAGAAAGGCTCTCTCTCCACAACTGGCCCCAAGACACCCTCCTCAGTAAATGGGCGCCTAAGACATCAGCCTTCAATTCAAGTAAGACTCAGGGAAAAAAGAAGATCTTGAAATCCTTTTGAATCTCTGAGTCCTCATGACAGCGATTTTGTTATTAGCGCATTAGTTCCATCAGATGTAGCTAAGGATCTGAAGCTACTGGATTCTGAGTAACATCACAACCAGGGCAAGAGAAGCTGCGAAAGCCTCCCTTTCCCTATTCGGTCCTCATTCTCCTTACGTAGGGCGCGTTGACCTGGGCGGTATTACGGAAAAAAGCATGAAAGTAGAGGTCAAAGGCCTAGCTTCGGGACCTGGTTTTGCTGGTCTGCTGGTTTGCGCAAATTACTGCGTTTTGGTTACCCTCAGGTGTAAATGATACTGGCCTCCTCCAAGAGCTGCTGCACAAATCAAATGACACAAGGGCAATGACAAACTCTTGTAAACTGGACAGAAGTGACCATTAACCTCCAGGCCACGTTCTAGCTGCAGACAAAAGAATGGTAAAATGTCTGTGTTGAGAAGGCCCTTAGAGCATCGAGTTTAACCTCCTCATTTAACAGGGTAGGAAGCCAAGAAAGTGACTTGCCCAAAGTCACCCGACTAATCTGGGCGCCCCACCTACAGATACTTAGTGTGCACCACGTGCTCGGACAGTGTAGACGCGTTCCGTCCTTTCACGGAGTTTCATTCCAGGGGAAATCAGGCGAGAAACAGACAATTACAGTGGGGAGAATTCCTTGAGATGGGGGTCAGGGACAGCTTCTCTGAGGAGGTGCAGGCTAAGAGTTAAAGGGTACAGATGCCAAGAATGTCACTCACGGAGTACACCAAGAATGGTCTAGGAGAGGAAAAAGCATATGGAGAGGCTCTGAGGCAGGACAGACAGAAGATGGACCTAGGAGGATACACGCTGCGGGGCAGAGAGTGATGGGAAGGCAGGCTCGGGCCATGGCTGAAGTGGCTTGGACCACAGGAACGTCCCCCAGACTCACGATCCTGACCCACAGTAACCGTGAGCTATGCTGTCCCTCAGTACATTCACATATATAAATATGTACCCCTACATGTAACAGAAATCAAAGGCTCATGGGACAATATTTACCCTACTGTGTATGATATCCTGTTATTTTCTATTCTACTGTGACTGATTTTAGGGGAAAAAAGTGCCGTTTGCAACCCATTGGATCAATTTCACTGATGGGTCACAACCTGCATCTGACAGGTGCTCACCCATGCGGGCAGGATCCTGTGTAAAGCAGAGGTGAGGAGAACAGACTTGGAGACAAACAGACGTGATTCAAGCCTTGGCTCTTGGACCGTGCACTTGCTAGGTCGCCTTAGAGAAACTGTTACTGGCTTGGAATCTGGTGGCTGTGGTATCTTAGGGGCCACTCTGGAGCGTGTGCACCTGCCCAGTTGCTGGGATTCTAATGGTACCCTGGCTCCACAGGGTCAGGGGTGGGGTGGAGGGGACAGCCTAGGTGACTACTACTTGTGCCGTAAGTGGAGAGAGACAATGTGGGCTTTAGGGACCAGGTAGTATAGACAAGAGGCAGGAACACATTCTATTAAGAGCTGCACTGGTAGATCTGTGGCTGAGAAAATAAGACACTGAAAAACTGACGGGTTCCTCTGGAATCTAGGCGGTATCCTGGCATTTTTCTGGGCTTCACCCAGCCTGGTTTTCAAATCTTCACGGTCACCTTCGTCATCATGGCCCCTACTTCTCTTGGCCAACGTGTGCCGTGTCTACTCTGGCCAATCACCTAGTGTAGGGTTTTCTATGCATGAAATTAGGGGTGTTTTCTAATTTCCCTTAAAGGCACAACAATGGAAATTCAGAGCTTGACACAAATTTCTGGGGCCTTGCAGTCCCTAATCCTTCTAAAGAGAACCTGGGTGGGATGGGGGCAGCGCCCATGGTCAGCCCTGAGGGCTTTCAGGGTTCTAAAGTAAAAATCCTTAGACCCTGGAGTGGGGGACCTGCTTAAAACTCCCAGCTTTGCCATTCCTGATTTGTGTGATTTAGAATTCTCATTTTACCTTCTTTGACACTAATGTCATTGTGTGAAGATTAAATATAATGATATTTGTACAGACTATCACCGTGCCTAGTACATAGTAGGTGTGTAATGTCTCTTGGTTTCCTTTTCTGGTCCTAAGTCCCATGCTCTAGTTCTCAGGATTCCTGTTCCTTGCTCTTGTGCAACTGACCCTTAACCATCTCCACTATCTAACGCAGGGGTCGGCAAACTGCGGCCGTGGGCCAAACCTGGCTCACCACCTGATTTTGTAAGCCAAGTTTTATTGGAACATAGTCATGATCACTTTTTATGTATTGTCCATGATGCTTTACGATGGCAGAGTTGAGTGTAGGCAGTTGGCCTGCAAAGCCTAAAATATTTACAAATTGGTCCTTTACAATTTCTTAAGTCTATTTATTTATTTTTGAGAGAGAGAAAGAAGGCCAGAGAGAGAGAGAGAGAGACAGAGAGAGCGCACAAGTGACGGAAGGGCAGAGAGAGGGGGAGACACAGCATCCGAGGCAGGCTCCAAGCTCTGAGCTGTCAGCACAGAGCCTGATGTGGGGCTCAAACCCACAAACCATGAGATCATGAGCTGAGCTATAGTCAGATGCTTAACCGACTGAGCCACCCAGGCACCCCATGAATTGGTCCTTTAAAAAAAAGTTTGCTGACCTTGATCTAATGTGTATAGAATTTTAATTCGCAATAATGGTTGTACGTATCCCTCAGCTGAGCTGCATGAATTAGTTGAGATATGCCAGCAACAATGGTTAGCTCCACTTTAGAGATGCAGAAACCGAGGCTCAAAGTAGCTGTGACTTAAACAAGGTCACCCAAGAGGGTGAAAGAAGATTCCCAAGCAGGTGCTCTCGCTGCCGCCCTGTGCTGCCTCGCGAGGGTTTTGAGGGTTTCCAATGAGAAAGTCAGTCTGCACGTTCTCTGGCCCAGTCTCCCTGGGGACTGGCGACATGTGGGAAAAAGCTGGCCATGGGCACAGCTCAGTAACATGAAGGATGACCAAGGTCTGGCCAGTTGAGGACGTATTTGTTTAATGGCTGCCACTCTTACCAAACTGCAGTCTTCACTAGAAGAAAGGCCATGTCTGTTCACTGCTATATCAGAGCCCAGCTCACAAAATGTTTACTAAATAAACAGAGCTAGAGTCCCGGTCATTATAAAGTCCTCTTGCTCTTTGGCACCTGGTGGGGAAGATTCCCCTTTTCTCTGGGGAGAATTCCCCGTTCTGGTTGACACCCACCTCTACAGGTGCTATTCCCTACACCCCTGGCAGACGTCCCTTCTTCTCTCCAAATCTAGTGACCGAGTTCTGTTCCTCTAGCTCCTAACTCCAACCTGTCTTCCCAGACCCATGGCACTGCCTTGTTCAGACCCTTATCAACTGAAGCCCCATCTGTTTAGCCACCTCCTTACTGGCTTCCTGCCTCTACCCTCTGCCTCTCCAGAGCATGCTCTGTGCTGCCCAAGTCTGGTCCTCTTCTTCTTCTTCTTCTTTTTTAAGTGTACTTATCTTGAGAGAAGAGAAAGTGAGGGGGCAGAGAGAGGAGCTGCCGGTGCAGAGCCCGACGCGGGGCTCAAACTCACAAACTGGAGATCATGACCTGAGCCAAAGTCAAGAGTCCGATGCTTAACCAAGACTGAGCCACCCAGGCGCCCCCACTCATTCGTAACTCTTCTTTGGGCTCTCCCTGACCATAGATGTCAGCCCTCCATGACCGGGTCCCCGCCTACCTCTATAGCCTCATCTCGCTTCTCCTACGTCCCCGCAGGGACACAGCCGCACCAGGCTACAGCAGCTCCGACAGTGCCGAGCCTTCTCCTGCCGCCGTACCTTTGCACATGCTGCACTGCTTGTCAGCGCTTCCTCACCTAGCCCACTGGCTATGCTTCTACTCAGTCTTCCAGACGGAGTTCAAGCACCACTTCTTTGGGAAGTCGCTCCGAATGCTCCCCGAGATGGGGGGCTCTCGCCTTCGTGTCCATCCTCTCATTATAGCGCTAACTAGACTGTTAACGTATTACGTGTTGTTTTTCCATTCTCGAGTTCCCCACCCCCAGCCAAGAACACTTTGAGGGCAGAGACTGTGTCTGACGGGGGCGGCCTCAAAGCACCAGTCCGTCGGCATCGATAGTGAATCCTGCAGCTCTCAGTTTGCTCAGATGGCGTGGCTCTTTCACGGCCAGGTGGGGCTGCAGGAGAGAGTGGGGCCATTCTTGGCAGCAAATCTGATCTCAAAAAAAAGAGCTTCTAATAGACTTATGTTACTGTTTTTTTCCTGCCTGGTACCTTTTTCTTTCTAGAACTGCTCCCTCCTCACCTCTGAGGCTGTCAACCACAAGGCCCCACCCTTTAAACCACAGAGGTGGGCAAGACGCTCCATTGAGGCAACTGGAATGACCCAACCCCATACTCCTGGTGTGGTTCTAGGCCATAAGTATCTTTACCACAAGTATTTTTGCCATATAACTAATTACGTAAGGCAATGTTGCTGTAAAACAAAACAAAACAAAAACTGGTTGACAGTTTGTTGGTTTCATCTGCTGGTTGACAGTTTGGTTTCATTTCTCCATTGACACAGTCCTCCTATTTCATATTATATCAACTTTAGCCCTTGTAACAGTCTAAAAAGTAGCATGGAGTTTTGAACCCACATTTCCCAGAGAACTTTGGAACGTCTATCAGTGGAAATGTGACAATATGTCAAAACCAGACAACAATGTGAAAGGCTTTCACAACCCGATACAAAGCCCAGTTACAAATGCGCACCCTAGTATTTGGAACCTGATCAAGGAAGACATTTTAGCAACAACAGCAACAACAAAAGTGCCATACTGATTGAGGAGACGAGTCAACAAGCACCAAAAAACCGTGTGATACTAGGAACAAAAGACTTTGAAGACAAGTGCTTAGGTACATTTTGTGGATCCACAGAATAAAATCAGTTATTTGTGTGTATTGCCATGAATCTACACTATACATTTTGAATGTACTGAAATAGTTTGTATTTTGCAGTAGTCTTTTCATTACTCATTTTGTGTTTGATGATGTCCTTTTTAGTGAATGTCCCTCTTTTATTTTTCACAATTTTGTCTTCTACAGCAAAATTGCCTGCGGCCAGTCAGTTATGCTGTGAAAAAACTTGCAGTTTAGATGGTGTGAAACTACTGAGTATGAAGGGGTTCATGGATGGGCAAAGACCCAGGCAGTGTCAGTCAGAGCCCTGCTGGTGGAGGGATATGGTTGCACTGGACAGATTGTGGAGGCCATGTTCATTTGTTCCCAGTTTGATGCAAACCTCAGGATGCTGGTGGCCATCTATGAAAGGTCGGTTTGAATCTCAGCTGCACCACTTGCTGGCTAGGCGATCTTGGGCAAGTTGCTTAATATTTAATATTTATCTCATATCTACCTCCTGTTGTGGGAATAACTGAGTCCATACATGTAAAGTGCTTAGAACAGGGCCTGGTGCAAAGGGAGTAGACAACAAATATTTGTTAATGCTACTATATCACTAGGTGGGGAGATCCTATCTGAGAACTAGCAAGAAAACACAATGAGCTCTGGTATCACTGGGGTTCCTGGATCCAGCTTTCCATCTCTTGCCCGTCCCAGTTCCAGAAATCAATTAACTTCTTTTTTTGCAGAGCAAGTTTGCGTTGACTGTAAGTTATAACCCAAAGGGTCCTAACACCGTAGTTTAGCAGAAACAGAGTGGGAATAAGAGTTTGGTGGGTTCTCTTTCAGTTTGCTCTTTGGACAAGGGCTTCTTCCCAAGTTTCAGTTCTTCTTCTTCTTTTTTTAATGTTCATTTATTTTTGAGAGAGAGAAAGAGCGCGTGCACGTGAGAGTGGGGGAGGGGCAGAGAGAGGGAAACACAGAATCCGAAGCAGGCTCCAGGCTCCGAGCTGTCAGCACAGCGCCCGACGCAGGGCTCGAACTCACGGACCATGAGATCATGACCTGAGCCAAAGTCAGCTGCTTAACTGGCTGAGCCACCCAGGTGCCCCCTTAGCTTCAGTTCCTTATATGTCCAATGGGGTGGTTAGTGTCTTCCCTGCTTCCCTCTCGTGATTGCTGTCACGATCCTGTATATAATGTCTGTGCCTCAAAAAGTGTGAAGTGTTAAAGAACAAAACTCACCAACGACTCACCATGTATCAAAGAAAACCCCAACTTCTTAGCTTGGCTTTTGCAGGGCTTCCCCCATGTGGCCCCACTACCTGTGTGACCTTCTTTATCACTTAAGCAGACTTCTGTGCGCAAATCCTCTGCCAAGGCTACATTGAGTGTCTCACTATTTTCCAAACCGACCTTTGGGTCTGCTCATTTTGCTCCGTCCAAATGCAATGATTTCTGGCTCATTTCCACCTCACATAATTCACCCGTCAAACGTCCATTCCAGAGAAGCCTCCTCTGTGAAGCCCCGATCCTTCCTTAAGACTCTCTCACTCTCTCTCTCTCTCTCTCTCTCTCTCACACACACATTCGCGGGCACACAGAGGAGCCAGAAGTGTCCTCGGCTTCCTGTAAACTTGTAACATGTAACACACCCTTTATTGAAGTTACTAGTTTGGAGATTTCTTCAATTAAAATTTAACCTCCTGCAGGGCAGGGGCTGTCTTATTTGGATTTCCCATTGTACCATCTAGCGGGGATTTAGGGATGCGGGGATTCAGAGAATCACAGCTCTGATCAATACGGGCCCAAGGAGATGAGAGAACAGGTCGTCACCCCCAGAGCAGATGAAACAGACTTTCTGCTCTCCTTGTCCAGCTCCCATCCCTACTGGCAGTGGGTACATGGACTCAATAATAAATCCCGCATTGCTCAGTTACACTGAGCCAATGTGCAAACATTTCCAGTGTGGGTGAAATACAATCCGGAACAACGAAAGGCTGCAGACACCTGGAGAAACTTACCCAAACCGGCATTTGCTGGAATCACCCAGTCTCCTGGCTTCACCCCAGTCACACTGCTGCCCACTGCCACCACCTGTCCAACACCTTCATTCCCTCCAACAGCAGGCAGCTTGGGAAGGAGGCCATAATTTCCTAAGGGAGAAGAGCAGAGGGTCACCCGGTGAAGCTCGGGCAGTGAAAGAGCATGAACTTTAGAGTTGGATCTGAGCCTGATCTGGGGTCTGCCTTTGGCCTGCTGTGTAACTAACCAGCCTCTCTGAGCCTCAGCCTTTTCATCTGTAAAGGGGAAATACTTTTCAGCATTCGTGGTTATTATGGGGATTAGCTAATGTATGAAATGAGCCCAGCATATCGCAGGCACCTCACAGTGGTTGGTTTACTCCCCACTGCAATCTTCCTAACTCTCAAAAAGCCTCACATTCCAGAGAGGGGAGGCCAGAGAGGGCTTGCAGTCTGCAGATGGCTCATCTGGAGAACAGCTGCTGCTAATCACAGGAATTTCACACCCGCACCTGAGGAAGAATGGAATCGAGGAGGTGGCGGGCTAAGCAAAAAAGCCAATTAACATAAGCCACAGAAACCAAGGTTACCTTGGATCATATTTATGTCAGATGGATTGATAGGGGCCGCCAGCATCCTCACATGGACGTCTGATCCGCCCACAGCAGCTAGCTCCAGGTCCTTCAGTCTAAGCACAAAGCCAAAGAGAGAGATGTTAATGTCACCCAGGATAGACAGGGCGTCTTTTGCTCAAATCATCTCCCCAAAGTAGGTCAGGGTGGCCAGATTTTTGAGCTGCCATTGTGTGGCCGGGAATTAAGGTTGTTAGAAGAGAGAAAGGTGCTGTAAGGAATTAGCACAGGCTACAGGTTAACTCTCTCACTAACTGCAAATGGAAAATCTCTAGCGCCCTCTCAATACCACTGCCCGTTCTGGGACAGAAAGCAGTGAGACCTTCTGCTGGCCTGGATTAGCCTTGTGTTTTCCAAAACTTGCTTATCAGAATCACCTGGTGTGCTTATGCATAATGTAGATTCTCAGGCCCCAGCTCTGACCTAGTGAACCAGAATCTCAAGATAAGGGATGCCCCGAGTGGGTCTTATAGACAGCCGTAACTGAGACACAGTGGGCTAGCTTATTTGTTCTCTGCTTTCTCTTTCTTTTTCTTTCTTTCTCTTTCCTTCCTTCCTTCCTTTCTTCCTTCCTTTCTCTCCCTCTCTCTCTCTCTTTCTTTCACACATTTCTGTTAGTTGCAGAGCAGGTGAAACAGAGAGATGCCCTTTGTAGTTCAGGAAGAACTCCCTGGGTGACTGTGATCCACCCCCTTGAGTGATGTCCCTTTGGGCCCGAATCCTGGTCAGAAAGGATACTGAAAGGAGAGCTGAGCCATAGCACTGCCAAGAGCCTCTCCCATTACAGGTGGGATTTCTAGGTGGTAACACTCTGTTCATGGTGGGCCCTAGGCACCATGGGACTAATGTCTTTATGCATTAGAGCTTTGGTTAATGGGTTAAACCTGCTAAAGGGCTGGTGGCAATGTCCATGTATTATTTTTATTTATTTTAAATGTTTTTTTTAAATGTTTATTTATTTTTGAGAGGGACAGCGTGAGCAGGGGAGGGGAGGAGAGAGAGGGAGACACAGAATCTGAAGCAGGCTGCAGGCTCCAGGCTCATTGCCCAATGCGGGGCTCAAACTCACAAACGGTGAGATCACGACTGAAGTTAGACGCTCAACCGGCTGAGCCACCCAGGTGCCCCTTATTTTTATTTTTTATAAAAGGAGACCTTCTGGGGCTGATCGAGGAGCCTGCTTAAGATTCTCTCCCCACCTTCCCCCGCCCCTCCCCTGTGCATGCTCTTGCAAGTTAAAAAAAGAAAAAAAAAATAGGAGACCTTCCACCCAGAAAGCACTGATCAGTGTACAAGACCAGTGGGTCTTGGTGACTTTTTAATTACCAGGGACTCCTTTATTTCTCCACACCAAGACTTTATGTTCACAATGTTTTCCTTTACCCAGATGTACTTTTTTGGTGGTTTATTTATTTTGAGAGGGAGAGAATCCCAAGCAGATTCCGTGCTGTCAGCGTGTGGAGCCTGATGGGGCTCGATCTTATGAGACCTGAGATCATGACCTGAGCCAAACTCAAGTCAGACGCTTCATCGACTGAGCCACCCAGGCACCCTGTCCTCTACCCAATGTACTTGTAATAATTCTCATTTTTAGTTACCGAAGGCACATATAACTGCCACACAGAGGTTCTTAGCATTAGGCAACAGTGTTACTGAACTAGGCTGATATAACCCTACCCACTTCTGGCAGAAATCTGACCTTTTAATTATACCTGAGGCTCCATTGGAGGTAAAAGTGTGATTTTCAAGAAATGCCTTGTATTAATAGTAGCAATAATGGTGGCAGGTATTTATGTGGTATTTGTAATATATCAGGTCCTGTGCTAAGGGATTTAAATACATGATCTGATCTAAGATACAATTCCCTTGTGAGGAAAGTATGAATAGTCCCATTCGGTCAAGTAGGAAATGCAGGCTCCTGGAGATTATGAAACTTACACAGGGGGAGATAACCGGTCAGTGGCAGGGCTCCCCTACTTCCCAAGTTGGCACTCCAAATTACTGTGCTCTATTATTAGAATCCTGAAAATAGCCTGGGAACGCCCCTGACTGCCTACAAGGACCCCTAGCGACCTAAGGGGCTCAATCTGGGAATCCCTGTCCCGGACTATGACCAAAGTAAGACAGACCATGCCTTACCATGACTAAGAGACAGCTGCAAAAAACTGGATTAGAGACACTCTATAGAAAATAGTTAACTAGGAAGGAGTTAGGACCAAGGCAGGGAGAAAAAAGAAAGGGCTCTTTTTGTTTAGGTGCTTATTAAGGAATGTATGTATTTATACACAGCTGGAGGAGGGGGGAGTCCTTATAATCATCATCATCATAATAAGTACTGTTTGAGTGCTTATCAGTGAGAGAGACACTAGGCTAAGTGCTTTCAATGCCAGCTTTCTACCATTATTCTGATTTTATGGCTGAGGAACAAAGGCACAAAAGAAGGAAATAAATTATTCAAGGCCACCAAAAGTAGTAAGTAAGTGGCTGATCTGATTTGAACCTAGTGGTCTGATGCTAGAGAAGCCAGATGGTAAGGGGCTAAGCAGACCAAGCAGAGGGCAGCATGGTGTAGAGGCCTGGTCCTTGCTGGACCTGCCTGGGGAGACAGGGAGGGGTTAGCAGCAGGCAGAACAGGGACCATCAGCCGGACAGTGATGCTTCTCTACGAACAAAGAGAACAGATGTGTAAGCCTGCATTCTGAGAAAAATCCCGCCCAGAGCAAATGGATTGCAGATTGGCTGCCTCTCTATATTATCTGTACTGCTTCTCTCGTACGTTTTGCAGAAATCAGAGTTTTTCTGTAAGCCAACAAAGTCCATGTACTCAAGCTACTTAAAGACATTTTTTTCTGCCCATTTTTTACATGCTCTTCCCTCAGCCCAGAATTTCTTTTCCACTGCTTCTCCACAGAGCAGGAAGTTCAATTCACCCTTTAAGACTTCTTTTGACCCTCTTCTTGGTCCTGAAAAAAATCACTTGCTCCATCCTCAGTGTTTTCATTACACAGAAGGGGTGACACCATTTTAAGACCCTCTTACATGAGTTTATTGCTTTTTAGTTTATCAAGTCTTTCCATATAATTCTTTTCAATTCATCACAACAGGCCTACATTCACATTCCTTTCCCCAAACTACGTGGGGGAGATGTATGTATGCCAGAGTTCAGAACCATGTTATTATCTACAACCCCTGTGGGGGTTGAGGCAGCACTCTGTGATCAGAAACACTGTTTCTGCAGCAAAATGTATGAATATTCACGCTAAGCGGGATGAATAAACACATATATATGAATATATAAAATAAATGTAAAAACTTCACACAAGATGAGGTCTTCCCTCCAAATGAGTTGTAAAACAACAGAAATCAAAACAGAACTGTCAGCTGACAGAACGTTCTGACTTTGTCGTTGTAGATTCCAATTTGGATTTGGATCCAGGTCTTTCGGACTTGGTTCAGGACTCTTTTTACCTATCCCTTAGTTTTACAGCCAGAATGTGCATGTCTGTTGTCTCCCCACTTGGCTGTGAGCTCCCAGACAGCAGAGAATTCTTAGTCTTACCTCCGTGTTTAGCACAGTGCCTGGGACCAAAGCAGTGCTCAAGAATGCTTCCTAATGAAATTACGCGACTTTCCTCCCTATTGAGAAAATGTGACATAAAGGTGTCAGCCATTTTTGGGGAATCAGGGGAGAGGCTCAAGGCACAGGGATTTAGCTACTGAGGCTTATAGTTGCTCTTCCTGGTTCTGGGCTATTTAGGAAAATAACCCTGAAGGATGGGTACAAATGAGAATGGAGATTGTCCCTCAGAGAGTTTGGTCTAAGCAAAAACCCATGGCTCTCTTCCTCACAGGAAAGTGCAGGTGAGGTTTGCAGTAAATCGTACTTTAAAAATCTAGATGGCCATGGTCGAGATGGGAATACAGGTGGATCTCAGTTCACAGATGTGAGGAGCATGGGTTTGAAGTGAACAGGCAGTCCTGGGTTTGAATCCTGCCTTGGTCATTTACCAGCTAGATAACCTCAAAATACTCATCTGTGAAATGGGGAGAACACTTAGAAACTAGCTCATAGGAGTAAATGAGTTAATGTAAATAATTTGCTAGAGTACCTGATACACAGTAGATGCTGAAGAGATGGCAGCTGTTAGCAGTGGCAGGAATATCCAAGGAAGCCTCTGAAACAATTAGTTGGCTATCCCTCTGAAGAGAATCACTGAATCACTGAAAGACGGCGACTTTTTGGAAAACTCAAGTAAATTTAACTCAGCAAATATTTTACTGACAGTCCTACTCAGTGTCAGGTACTGAGCCAAGGGGCTTAAGGATAAAAAAAAAAAAAAAAAAATTCTCCTGCCTGGGAGCTTGATGGCACGGGGACTCTCACACGTGGAGTCACTGCGAGAGGCACCCCCAGAGGCAGGCACCCCAGAGTCAGGCTTGCGGTCCTAATCTCAGACTGCGCCCGGAGGGAGGAAATGCAGGGTTAGCCACTGGGCTTTGGAAGAAATGGTACCTTAGTTGGGGTTTGAAGGATAAGTGAGAGTTTACTCACTTACTTTCCTTGCCACACTTTACTTTCCTTTCTTGCAAAAGAAAGGAATGGCAAAGAACCTGACTTGATAGTTGGCCAGGCAGTAGGTGCAATCTGGACAGGAGCCAGGGGAATGGAGAGGATTTGATAACCTGGGATCTCTTAAATAAGAAGTGGTATTGATGTCACTCCCTCCACACGGAGTGGGAAATCTCTGATGGCTCCTGGGCTTCTGGCGTGGACAACTGGATATTGACACAGAGAGGAAGGGAGAGTGGTTTGGAGTGGGGAGGGAGGTGTTATATTTGGAGCTTGAAGCCGCGTGGTATGGGGAGAGGGCACTCCAGGCTAGACGTACAGAGCTGTGAGTCAGCTGGATGTAGTGGGAGTCGAGGCAGGCAGATCATCTTGCTCTGGGCGATCTGGCTGAACAACGAAGAGAAACTAATGCTGACAGTTTCCTAAGCTCCGGGCGTTGTGCTTAGCAT